GCTCGTGGCCGTGCCCACGGACACGGTGTACGGCGTGGCCTGCCTGGCCCAGGACCCGCGCGCCGTGCGCCGCATCTACAGCCTGAAGGGCCGCAACGGCGCCAAGCCGCTCGCCGTCTGCCTGGGCGACGTGGAGCTCGTGCACAGGTGAGCCCGGCGCCGCCGCCGACCCCCAGCGCGGGGCTGCTAACGGGCTCGTTGAGGCCGGCTCGGTGCTGGGGCGGATCCGCTCCCCGCTCGGCGCGGCGCGGGGGGCTCCGCTGCGGCTCCCGCCGCCGGGGTTGCGCCGGAGCCGCCCGCGTGCTCTGCCCCTAGGTACTGCCACGTGAACGTGCCCGACGCGCTGCTGCGGGACCTGCTGCCCGGGCCTGTCACCCTGGTGCTGCGGCGCTCGGAAGAGCTCAACAAGGACTTGAATCCCTTCACGTCGGTACGGCTTTCCCGGCGGAGGCGCCTGTGTGTTGTTGCTTTGCACCATGCTGTGTTTTGCGCTTCTGCTGCAGCAGCTGCTGTTGTGTTTCACGTGAACAGTGAGCAGCGTGTGCGGGAATCTGGGTCCCGTGCTGCTTGTCTGCTTAACAGGCCGTGACGCAGCCTCAGATGCCAATTGCTGCGAGCACGAGCCTGTAATCACTTAGTGCAACAGGCGTGGAAGCGTGATTGGCTTTAGCATCACTTTGAAGCCAAGAGGGCTGTAAGCAATGCGGGATTAAGAACTGGTCTCCAGTCACGGCGTGCAAAGCCCGCTCTCTCTTCCTCGCAGCTGGTTGGTGTTCGAGTTCCGAACCACCCCTTCGTTCGGGAGCTGGCGCGGGCTTGTTCGGGACCCCTGGCTCTGACGAGCGCCAACGTCAGCTCCCAGGCCAGCACCCTCACCGTCTCGGTAAGGCTGCTTTTGCACCCTGCGAAATTTATTGCCATAAACCCTCAGATCCTTCCCTTGCAAGCCAGGTTTTTTGATAGGACAAGAATTTGTTTGGTGCTGCTGTTCTCTTATCAAAGTTTCTAGCCTGTAGTTAAAGGAGCCTGCAGGTCTGTGGTGTGTGGTAGCTGTCTTGCTGTCATCCTTGTCTTAAAAACCAAGCACAGAGCTTGAAAAAAAGGTTTAAAAGCTTCACACCCAGCTGAGAATTAATTTTGGCTTGGTGGTGGTGGTATTTATTTGGGCATAGTATTCAAAGGACACCCTGGTCTCACCCTAAGTATCTTGGTAAGAGCTCTAGCGTTTTTGTGTGCACTCTGCCAACTGCCTTAATAAATAGTCATACACAAAGAAGCCCAGAGCCTGGGATCCCTTTCAAACTTTCCTTTGTGTGCTGGATAAATCTGTTCTCAGACACCAAACTGGGGGTGGATTCATGATGGCAAATGGTGAGACTGCCCCCCCTTGATGCTAGACTGCCCCACAGTATCTAGTAAACATGATAACAAACTGTCTTCTGGACTGTTAACTACATCTCTCTCTTCCAGGAATTCCAAGACCTTTGGCCTCAGTTGTCCTTAGTCATTGATGGAGGCCCCATAGGGGACGTTCAGAGCCCCGAATGTCGTCTGGGCTCAACTGTGGTCGATTTATCGGTGTCGGGCAGATTTGGCATCATTCGCCCCGGCTGGTGAGTGCTCTTTGCCAAACAGAACTGTACCTTTTTCTTTAGTGTATATAAAGTCAGAGATGTAAGGTTAGTGCGGGTCTTATTTTGCTGATTTCCCCATGCTGGTTAATCTTCAGCTTGAGGCTTTTTAGTTTAACTGCTAGCGTACTCAAAAATCCTGAAAAAAAGCCCAAATGCTGAGCCCAGGAGACCCCAGCTAGTGATATCGATAAGAAACACCCAAATTCTGGTAGTTCCTGTTCTGCTGAACGCAAAATGCCATTTACAGCCTTAGCTGAGCGTTGTTTCCCAGAAAATGCAGCTAAATATGGTTTTCCCCCCACAGTGCACTGGATTCTACGGTGGAAATCCTGAGGCAGAAGTACGGCTTGATACTGGAATCGTCTTGAGCCGTGGGACCGAAGCAGCTCTGCGGAGCTGGTAACGCTGGGCACCGTGTGCCCGCCTGCACGCTCAGGAAGCGAGCGCTAACGACCTTGTTTAATGAGGTTGATGGACTGTGTCGGGCTGCTGGCCAAAGGATGACGAGAGCAACAGTTAGTGGGTGCCTCTGTGTCCTGTCTGCTGTAGTCTGAGGAACCAACCCCCCTTTCTTGCTGACCTTTGTGGTGTTGTACTATTCCCAAATTATTATTCTGTTTTAAATACAATCAAACCTATTAAGACTAAACTGTACGTGCTTTAAAAAAATAAGGCGTTTGGTGCCCAGTCTGTGCTGACCTTCTTTCAAAGCACAAATTAATGATATTTTCAGTGTATTTTTATTGTAAGTGTATTCCCTGGTTGCTAAGAAGATAAAACAACTTCGGATGTTAATTTTCAAAACACTGAAGGTTAAACAACCACAGAGCTTTTGGTGTGGATTGCTGCATTTCTGCAGCTTCCAGCGCACACAGCAGGCTAAATGGTCTGCATTCTGACTCCAATTATCCTTAGTTATTTGGGTACAGTGGGTCACAGGAACAGCACCTAGAGCAGAACTCCTTGGCGTGACGGAGCTTACCTAAAGCAAGGGGCACGTAATTGTGTGGCCTAGTTTCATCTACGGGAGCCAGGTTAGATGATCCCTAGAGGTCCCTTCCAACCTCAACCAATCTGGGATTGTGTGGCACGCGGGACAGCGTGGGGACATTGCACCAATCAGCCCCTGCACTAGTGTCCCCGGCCGCGCTCCTGTCGCCCCTCCTCGCCTCGTTTTGAGGTGGGTGCAGGGGACCCTCGCGCAGCCCGGGGCCCCGCTGCGGTGCCCGCAGTGCCCGGGAGAGGCGAGGGGGGCCGGGGCCGCCGCTGCGCGTGACACCCGGCTCACGGTGCTGAGGAAACGAGCTGAGCTGCCCGGTTCAGTTTGGTGCAGCCTGGCTCCTCCAGTGCTCCCAGCGCCGCGGACGGGGCTGCAGCGCCGCAGCCCGCGCACCCGTGTCGTTCCCATGCACCCGTGTCCATCCAGGACTTCTCCATCTCGACAGCAGGTTGTGCTTTAGCAGCCTCCGAGTGCGGCCGGAGATTGCAGGGACCCCAAACCGCTTCCTCCTGACCCGCAGCCCGGGCAGCTCCGCTCGGCAGCGCGTCGGCAGCTTGCAGGCGCCTGCTGCTTGCCACGACTGCTGCCTGCTGCTCGTTGCAATCCCTTTTGCCTTGCCCTTTCTCGCAAGCAGCCAACAAAAACACAGCCGAGCGCAGCCTGTCCTTGTGCAGCAGCGTGCGCAGCAGAGCCGGCGTCTGCAAGCGCTTCTGTGCTTGCTGCCCGCGTGGGAGGACACAAAAGGAGGGATTCCCCCCGGAGGAACCACGTCTCGGCCTTCCCTGGAGGTGGGAGCAGCACCGAGCCCGGAACGGGGAGCTCTGAGCAGCGGGCGGCAGGAGCGACCCGGGCAGAGGCAGAGCTGCTGCAGACAGACCCGCTGCCAGCCAGGAGCACCAGACAGTTCAGTTTTATGACTCGAGGAGAGCAATCGCTCATCTCCTTTGATGGAATAACAGCCTGCTCAGGTGGACAGCACGTTCTGTGCATAGAAAGTGGTTTTAGCCTTCTCCACACTGCAAAAAGTGCCTTTCCCCTCTCCTCCCCGCTGTCTCTGTGGGCTCCTTTCCCCCGCGCAGGAGCTTTGGCTGCATCGGAGCTGGGTGCTCGAGCGAGGTGCAGCCGCTGCTTGCAGGGCAGATAGCACCAGAGCTCACGGGGCTTTCACTGCGGAACTGCTCAATTAACTACTCATTTAATTATAGTTTGATTAAATTAGATCCTCTTCTTTTTTTTTTTTCTTTTTTTAATTTCACCATCAAATGATTCTCTGCATAATTAATGCCGGCTGAGTCCGGCGACTCGCCTGCTGCTCCGCAGGGACAGGGCTCCGCTCGGGGAGCGCCCCGCGGGAAGTGCCACGGGGCTCCCTTGGGTGCAGCCGCTTCACGATGCCCTTGCCGAGACGTGGAGGGCGCTGGAGCCTGCAGGGATCATCCTGCGTCTCCCAGTTATTGTGGCCGCCGATGGAGTGAATCCCGGTGCGGCTCCGTCCCGCTGTGCGCAGAGCCCCTCACTGCGAGGGCCTCTCTCCTGGGCTGGCTCCTGCGGAGAAACAAGCTTAGTTAACCTCAAATTAGTCCGGAGGAATGAGATTCTTCTTTGAAGCGATGTCATTCAAACCATTGCACTTGAAATCATCCCCGCTGGAAATGCAGCTGGAGGTATTAATTAATTAATTCACTCTGCTCCCCTATTAATTCTGCAGCCGTTCACCTGCTGCGCCACAGTGCAGAGCGATGCCAGTGGCCCCCGCAGCCCCAAGCAGGGGGTAGTTTCTCTTCTCCCTTGGTCTGAAGCTGTGTCCTTTAATACCCTTCACAGCCAACAAGCTTCCTGCGAGGAAGAGGGCTCCGAAGGGGCGAGTCTGTGGGGACTTTTGGTTTTGGTCGTTAAAGATCGTCTTTAAGAAACCACAGCAGGAGCAGGGCAGCTGGTTTAATTATTCTGAGGATGTCTGGCCAAGATCCGTGGCCTGTTGCAAGCTGCGTTTTCCTTGCCTGCTGGGACACGCCGGGATCTCCTGGTGCGGGAGCTCCGTTGCACCGGACTTGCCCTCTGCTCCCGCCTTGCAGGGCCGGGCTCTGCTGCTCCATCGGGGCAGGGACGGGGCTCATTCCCAGTGGGAAGGTTGCAGGAATTGGTAAAGCTCAAATCCACCTCCCGCCTGTTCCTCAGCGCCGGTGGCCCCTGTGCCACGCTGGCCACCGCGCAGCCTGTCGTGGCCAGCGCCTCTCTGATAGCCTTTGAGAAGCCCTTCCAATTAGTGCGGCGCATCTCCTGGTAATCTGGATCCCTGTTGTGCTGTCAGGCTCAATTCACATTTAATTTGCAGCGGGTGTCTATCTGGCAGCTTTTTCGCTTAGCACAAAACTGAGAGGAAGATAGAAGCGACGGCAAAAATAATACAAGTTCATATCCTTTTTACCTTAAGGAAGGAGGAGAGATGCCAGAAAACTTAGCCAAATTTACATTTTAATGGGAAACGTTACGACTGCCTGCTCCAGGAGACATAAATTACTTTCCAGGTTGGACCCTGACTTGATGCTAAAGAGCAGGGAATTAAATGTAGCAGCCTGTGATGCGATGAGGGGCATCGGGAGAAGCGTGGCCGGCACTGCCGGGTCGCGTGCCCGCTGAGCGGGATGCACAAGGAGCGGGTAACGGCCCGGCCGGCGCCGGGGATGCGCTGGGGATTCGCCTGCTTCCGAGCTCATTTTCCAGGGAATTCCTCTGCCTCCGAAGGCAGCTGGTTTGACGCACGCGTTGGATTCCTCCTCTGGGAAGCACTAGGCAAAGGGCTTGATTTGCATCAAATATTCTTGGCAGTAATGCCCGAGGTGCCTGCGCCGTTGAACTGACCATTAATAATTCACGCCGCTCCGCTCCCCAACCGCTTATTTCCCCACTTCCAAAAGCGGCCGGCGATCACTGCTCCCGGCAGGGCCTGTCCCCGGGCGCTGCCGGGGCTGTTGGGGCTCCCCTGGCACTGCCTGGGCACCGGCTTGTGGAGCTGCCTGCACCGGCCGGGGCTCCGGGGCAGAGCCGCCCTGCGCCGGGTCCTGCGGCTGCTCCAGCCGCTCCGCTGGAGCCTCTGCAGCCTGGAATGCGGCTGAGCAGAGTCGGGCGGCAAAGGTGACACTTGCACGTTGCGCTCCCGGGGACGGGCACCTCGGGAGCCGGTGGCACGAGCGGCGGCGGCGCCGCGAGCGGCTCGGCCGGAGCTCAGTGGCGGCGGCGGCGCAGGATGAATCGGAGGCGACCGTGGGGAACTCGGCGCTGCCACCTCTCGGGGCCGGGTCCTGGTGCTCCGGCCGCGCTCGCAGCGGCTCCGACCGTCAGAGCCATAACGGGTCTGTGGCGGGCTGGGTGGTGATGACCGCTGTGACACACAGGTTTGGGCGCCTCGGTTCGTGCAGTGGGAACCTTCGGAGGGGCTTGGAGCAGCTTCCCAGTGAGCCACTGGTAACGTGGGCTTGGCCGGAGCGAGCGTCACCTTCCCTTCAAAACCCTGCGAGGAGGGAGAAGCCTTTCTGAAAGCAGTAGCTTCCCCGGGTATTTCAGTTGTGAGGCAAAATTTGCATTTTGATTTTGGAAATCAGTGGCCGTTCACAAATAATTCTCCTGTGTTGCTGCGGGTCATCCATCAGCCCTGGGTCTCGGCTCGATAGGAGCCGTTATTGGCTTTGTGTTGGTGTGTTTGTTCGATACTAGTGGTTTATCCGCTTGCTCTTCGGGGCTGTGTTGTAATGACAAATTACAGACTCCTGGGCTTTTGCTCCAAGCAATTTTAGGCAATCCGGATGGATCAGCACGGCGGCAGCTCCACGGCCCGTCCTCGTCCCCGAGCTTGGAGGGATCCCAGTCCCGCGGGATGTTGCAGCTGGCGTTGGTGGTGGTGGACGTTTCAGAGCAATGGTTGGTGCCGCAGCTGCGAGCGGGAACGCTGGGCAGGCGGGTGTTACCTGCGCCGCCGCCTCGGGACTCCCTTTGGGAAACCCGCGATTTTGCTCAGTCCTCCTCGAGGACGAGCGGGGTGAAATAAGGACGTTCTCGCGTGGCCAAAGACTTCCAGCCTGCTGTGAAGTCAGCAAGGGAGGAGCTGGGGGAGCTCGTGCTCGGGAACGCTGCTGCACGTTGGGCGCCAGGAGGAGCGTTGGGGAGGTGCTGCGGGCGCCTGGCACACGGGCCGGCGCCTTTGGGGCAGTTTGGTTGATTGGCCCCGGTGAAGGCACCGGGATCTCCCATCCGTGGGAATGGCAACTGGGCTGAGATCCCAGCCCCGGGCTGGCTGGGCCGGAGAGGCCGAGCGGAGCTCCGGCAGGCTCCGGGATGCGGAGCGGGGCAGCAGCAGCTGCCGGCGCGGACCCGAAATCACCCGGATCCCTCCGAGCCTGCAGCCCAGCGGCTGTTGGGCCCCGTGCCGTAAATTACCTGTGCAACTTCTGAGCGAAATAACCTGATTAGTAATTATCGGCGCGGAGCACTTGGGGAGCCTGTGCGGAGGACGGGCTGCTTCGTTGGAGCTGCCTGTCAGGTTTGTCATCTAATTATAAAGCTGTTCAATGCCAGGGCCCTGGACAGAAAGAGGAAAGAAAGCTCGGTGTAATTGTATTGGTGATATTTTGTAGCACTAATTACTTGCTTAGCAATTAATGTTCCTGCGGCT